AAAAGGGACATATTGTCAAAAAAACCCTGGGCTTACTTAAAAAGTCATTCTGAATTTTTAGGCCATATTTATGAACATTATTCTACTTGTCATTTACTTACCTTTTCTTTTAGTTTTTTTGTTTCTTCTTTAAATTCCTCTTCAAGTTTCTGAAACATCTGTTGTTCCTCAAGAACTAAATTCTTCTGTGTATTAACCTCATCTTCTTGTAATTTTACATAAGCTAACAATTTCTCCATCTCCAATTGAGTATCCTCAGCCTAAAATATAAAAAAGAAAAAGAAAACAAAACTCATTACATCATGAAATAAAACCCAGTCGGCACATCAATTTCTATAATGCAATTCAAGAAAACATCAAGAGTTTCAATAACGGTGAACTTTAGAATAACTGTGAACTTTCAAATAAAAATTATTGATGAGGGCACTGGAGAACTTTAAACAGCAGATGTTGAAAGCATCGTGCTCAATCCTGTCAAAACCAGGTAGCTGTGTACTTTTGAGCACCCAGCCACTTGGTTTTACCAACTTTAGCCTTGGATGAGGTTACACTCCTCTTGTCACGACTGGTGTTTAATCTGTGGGTTATCTGGTACTTGTTGCTCCTACTTGAAGAGCAGGTAGCAACTATGCATAATTTCATCTGGTGTTACCCATTGCATTCATTCCTGGATCAGGAAACCCGTCAAAGATGGTTTCTCAAGTCCTAGTAACCTACAGGTGGAATTACTGCAATGCAATCTAGGTCGGGCTGCCTTTGAAGACCAATTAGAAGCTCCAGGTGCAATTCAAGGTGTTGTTTATAACCTATAAAGCTGTATCTGGATATCTCTCATGGCTTCTGCCTATCCTTTCTGAGATCCAATGTAACTCCTTCCCTGATGATATTCCAAGAATCTTTAAAGGCCTTACAGCAAAGGATTTCAGAAGGCTTGTTGTTGGTGGAATATTTTTTATTTTGCGGGAGGGATATATGGGATATAGTTTTCCAAATGCTTCAGATGTTTTCTTTTTAAAAAACTATAAACTGAACAAAATTATTCTGGAACCAGGTGGTCTTTAAATCTAATAAATAATAATAATGCTTTTAAAGTGTCACACATTTTCCTTCCTTTTGTTTCAATTCCTCATCAATTTTTGAAATCTGAGAATCTGGGGCTAAGGTTTTCCCTTTCAGCTCTTCTACCATTTTCTTGTATTCGCTGAGAGAATTATTAGCCTCCCTCAGTTGTTCCTGAAGTCCCAGATTCTTTAAAAAAAATGCTCCATTTTCACTGGCAGAAGACTGTAGGAGGCAGCGCACAGCTCCCCCGAGCTCCATTTGGCTGGCAAAGGGCTAGCAAAACAAACTAAAAGCAAAAACGCTCCCCACCCCCAAGGTCAAAAACAACCCTGATGTGGCCCTCAATGAAATCGAGTTTGACACGCCTGGTGTAAATCAACAGTGCCTTAAAATATATCTCATGTTTTATGTATCATTTTTTTATTTACCCTGGACTTACAATGGTGGGATTTTTAAAATTTAAAAAATCTAGAACTTAAGACATGCTATTTGTTTTGAGATTTATCATATTTCTTATATCATCACAAGAATAAAAGCCATTACTACTAAAATCTAAACAAAACCTGGCTTCTTTATCAACCCTTGCGATGCCTAACAACTTACTCCAGACATACTCACTACATTCCAGTGTCTGAATAAAAAACTAAATCTTAATGGACTTCTGAAAGGCTAAGAAAATG